TAGATGAGTTGAAAACAAAGTTTGAGCAAAATGTTCCAGCCATTATGGACCTAAATATAGATTTAGTCCCGTTCATCCCTGATTAAACAATCTCAATCAATGTCCTCCACGTTCATAGACTTGCTCGTACTTTGGCTCTTTGATGGAATAGATTGATCCATGACTGAAACTTCACCTTCCTCTTCATCTGGACCAGTAAGTAACTTGACAAAGCGAGAAAGGAATCCATCAATTCTCTCCGACTTGGGCTTAACTCCAAAGTATAGCTGACTTATCTTCTCGAGATATTTGACGTAAGTTGGATCACGATCGATCTGGAGACTATATTTGTCACACAGCACAGAAAATACTGAAAGTGTACATTTACGCTCTATGGCGAGCATGAGAAACCAAAGAAAATTTAGAAGTGGAAATCGGGTAAATGGGGGTCCTGGTTCTAATCTAGGGTGTCCACGAGTATAAGTGTAGAATGTAAGGGCAGCGACAGATGTCTTCTTCATGCATAAAAACTGCAAAACTGCTTGGGCGATAAATAGATCGAGCTCAGAGCGAAAACCACAACGTTGGTGAAGTTCAATAAGAAAACGACCAGCCACGTAGCCATTGGCAGCCATCATTATCCTGGTCCTAGCTTCCTCGAACATTCCTTCCTGCCAAAGTTTACGTCCAAGGTATTCATTGAAGACAGAAAATAGGTCTCTATTGGGACGCAAAAGTTGGAGGGTTTTGGATATAAATGTATCCCTTTCGTCACTTGGTGAAGTCATTCGTCGAAGCAATTCACATAACTGGTTGAGGTGTGACTCACCGAGTTCAATTCCACTCTTTGTGTAGACCTCAAGAACAAGACAAGATAAATCGATTCCACTTTCCCACTGTTCATTATCAAGCAGAAAAATGGCACCTGATAATATGGATTTAAGAGCTTCTGAATAATTTCTACGAGTTATATATCTAAAGTATATGGTCTTATGGAGTTGGTGCACCTCGTAGAATCTAAATTCAGAAACTGCATTATCAAGTCGCTGTTGAAGCTTTGATGGTCTGTTGTCGGCAAGTGCCATCTAAAAAATGATAAAAATGTAGAACAATTCAAATTTAAAGGATCAAAATGCTAAATGTATGTGTTCCTGTGAACGAAGAATAGGTAGATATGACAAAGATAGCATTCCAGAAACCATGCACAGTAATATAAGGATTAAATATAAAAGCTACAAAATATCCCTTTCAACATTTGATTAAAAGAATAATACAATATGATTGTTACGTACCAATCATTTAAAAAGGGGAAAGAGCAACTTTGTAAGCATGAGGAAATGAACAAAACAATGCACGATAAATTATGGGCTCATGGCGCCTAGCAGAAACTGAGATCACATATGACTATAGCAAATAATCAAAACGAAATAAACAAGGTTAGCTTATGCTTATTTACATATTTATCTTTACTCAGGAAACGGGAACAATTGTAATTAATTATCTGGCATAAGAAAGTTACGTTTACGACATGATAATAAAACTATACAAAGCAATAAAATTCATAAATCGGCAGTATACCTAAAGCAAAAAAGGTGAATATATCAACAAGTGGAAGTGATTACTATAAGGCAATGGACGAAAAGTATTAAGTAACAAAATATAGCTTATGGTCAGCATAAAAAAGAATGGCATAACAAGCAAAACTACAAACAACAGGTAATATTAAGTGTTAGTTAAAAATGAAGTTAGTGATATAGGCGTTCGCAGGCATGACACACATGAGATAGAATGAAAGTGAATTAGGTCTAGCGCACATACGTGTGGTTAGACCGACTTAATGGAGAGAAAGGTAAGAAGGAAGAGTATAAATACATAGATTGTGTCATAATTTAAACGTCCATGGAGGTCTTAACATTAGTGAATACTCTATTGTAGGTGGCAAAGCCATATAGAAAAAGCGAACCTGGGGCAGAGCATAAAGGAGTTAGCGACGCGATCGCAAGAAACGCTGAAATCAAACAGTGTTAAAATTATATTATCATAAAGATCAAGAAATTTTGTTATAACTATATTTAAAAAATGTTATTGTAATTTTTTCTTACATAAGCCTGTTTAATCATTTAAAAATAATAACGCGTATACTTATATGTTAAAATTAAATAAATTTTATTTATAGTTTTTAAATTGCTTCACTTGGCATTTGGCGCACGCCTCTTATTCCCTTTTGCTCCCACTCGCGCTATGTTTTCCGACAAGAAGCCTGATATATCAAAGCAGAGCAAAAGTCGTGTCCGAGTCACCATCACCGCCACTTCTGTCAAACCTCTGGAGAAGGTTTCCGATGATCTGGTCCAGCAGGCCAAAGAAAAGAACTTGAAGGTCCGCGGCCCTGTTCGCATGCCCACCAAGGTATATCCTCCGGAATTTCATAATTTGTAGATACTGCGGATTACGACCCGAAAAACGCCTTGCGGAGAGGGGTCAAAGACTTGGGATAGGTATCAGATGCGAATCCATAAGCGCGTAATTGATTTGCTTTCCTCCGATGGGATTGCGGAACAGCTTACCTACATAAATTTGGAACCTGGTGTCAACTGCGAGGTTAAGATCGCAGGAATTTAACACATGAATAAATGATACATTGGAACCCTCAAGCTTTCTAAGGAGTTTATGATTATGTATGGGCGCTTGTGCACATGAGATTGTGCTGATTGTCCTTTTGCCACGATTCTATCGGCAGGCTTAATTTGGATCCTATATGAAGTGACTTAAATCTTATGCTACTTTAGTCATCTTAAGTAGTATGGCTTACACAGTACTTTTGCACTTCTCGTTGACGCTCATTCTCATTTTATTATCCTATTACATAACGAGTGGAAGATTTATTCATTGATGCAATAGCATCTAGCCTTCAGGTATCATTTAAGTTAATATGCCTGTTCACTTCACCGTGGAAGGTTCCCCTATTATCCTTGCGTCACGGGCATCCTCGGGCGTCTGAATTTTGCTGTGAATATGTATTCCTTGGATAATTTGGTCAGCTAATGCGCCTAATTAGCCCCTAAGTTCTGGTTTTCCATCATGCTGTCCTAGTACTGGCCCTTCTTGTAGGTACCCCGCCACCTTCCGTCTTTGCATGCATTAGCTTACTTATGAATTTTGAAATGCTAACTATTTCCTCCCTCAAGGGTATATCATTGAACCTTTTGCATCCCTCGTAACGTGGTTATGCGTGCCATTCCCTGACACTTGCCGTCCCGTTCAATTGACGCCCCGAATGTGTTTTCCAAGCTAACTACCTTCAGTGGGTGTTTTACCTCATTCCATGACCTTTTCAATTATCCAATCGCATTTGCATATAAATCACTCCCGACTGGGGGACTTTGTAATCCCTTTCTGGTTAGTCTATCATTGTGGGGAGATTTAATTGTCAATTCTTCACCTTATGTCGTTTAAGATTTCCAGAGCTTTCACCCAAGACTTGTATTTTTGAAAACCTGCTTAGTGGCATAGAACTGTATTTAGTTCGGGGCATTCGGTGTTTCCATAATCCTTCCATAAAGTTCTAATTATCAGATCCACGCTACTATGTTGGTCACGTCCCCTAAAAGTATCTTTGGAAGCCTTATATGATTGGCTATCCT